CTCTTGAATTTCGATCTTCTTACCAGGAAACTTGAGTTCCTTACTGTCATCGTCACTCTCTGAGGACGACTCGCTGCTCGCTGAGCTGTCACTAGTGACTAGATCAAAGTCCCACTTCTTTTTGGGACGGTATATAACCTTCGAGGCACCTTCTGGCAGGCGCACATGCTCCTCGGTCGCTTTCCGCACGTTTGGCAGCTTGACAGAGGCGTTGCATGGCACAGTTTTTATCCAGACCTTCCTCTGTTTGCCATCTGGATAAGTGCGCGTGGTGACGGCACCACCCTGAGGCAGCTTTGGAGCCCTCCGCTTTGTGATATCATTCACAACCAACAGCTCCCGCTTGCCGTTGGGGTGTTCCAAGACTTCAATATCAGCACGCTCTGGAATTTTGAAATCTGGATTTTTCACGAGGGCTTTTACAAGCTTTTCCATCTTCATTTTCTTCTCCTTGGGAGGCTTCTTCGCCTTTTTCTTTGTCTCGAGTTTAGGTTTCTTAACTTTCTTGACACTGCCATCGGCCTGGGTGTGATACTCGTACTCGCTGACTTCCTCTTCCGATCCAGTTGATGTCTGACCCTCCTTGTAATATTTCAAGTCCCACTTCTTCTTCGGGATGTAAATGGTGACAATGCTGCCATCTGATCGTTTTTCCCTCTTCTCCACTGCTTTCTTCACGTCTGGTAGGACGACGCTGGGCTCAGCCTTGACCGTCTTACGCCACACTTGACGCTGCTTTCCATCAGACGTGCGCTCCGTTCCCACCTGCGCGTCCTTTGGGACCAAAGCGTACGGATTATTGGTGATATCACACACAATTTCCAGATCACGGGACTTGTTCGGACTATCCACTACATGAATTTCCGCTTCTTCAGGGATGGCAAAGTCTGGTCTCGGTGGGGTGAGCTTGCAAAGAAGCACCTTCATCTTCATCTTTTTACCCTTGGGCCCCTCTTCACCGGAGCTGTCGCTGCTGCTACTGCTACTAGAGCTGCTAGACGAGGAATCGCGCTTCTTCTTCCGCTTCGTTCCATCGACTTCCGAGTGCCCTTCAACCTTTCGCAGCTGGACTCCTGAAACTGCCTCGTCTGGGTGAGGCGCGCTCACCTCATACTCGCCATGTTTCCGGCCACCAAACAGCTTTCCGAAGAAGCCCTTTTCTGTCTTCTCTTTCTTCTCTTTGCGTTTCTTTTCTTTCTTTGGTTTCTTGGCACCGTCCGGTTCGTCACCTTCTCCTAGCCTTAGGCGCCAGCCGCGTCGTGGCCGATACGTGTTCTTAATGGTTCCGTCGCTAAGTGTTTCAGTGGTCATGTCATCCGTCTCAGTGAGCTGAATGTCGGCATCCGTGTCGACCGACTGGGTCCAGACTCGGCGGTCAGAGCCGTCCGGGTGCTTGTCGACCACGATCTTAGCTCCCTCGGGGATACGAGCCTGGGGCTCGTTGGTGATGTCCTTCGTAACTACCAATCGGCTCTGTCCGTCTTTGAAGCTGTACACTTCGAGGACGCCACCGGCCGGTACAATCAGCTCCTTAACCTCTTCCTCTATCGCCGGCTTCTTCGACTTCTTAGCCTTCTTCTTTTTCTTTTCATCCTCACTTTCTGAAGAACTTGATGACGACGAACTATCCCGTTTCTTTTTCTTCTTTCCGTCCTTTTCATGAGAGCTATCTTCTGTTGCCGTGTCCTTCCCTGACTTTTTATCCTTGCCGTCCTTGTCCCCTCCACCGGATCCGCCGCCGGCGTTGCCGCCAGTGCCACGACCTTTATCATCCTTCCCTCCCGCACCGGCGCCGCCCTGTGCGGCGCCACCGGCCGAGCCACCCTGAGCACCGCCAGAGATGGAGACCTTGCCCACCTTCGACGTCAGCGGTGCCTCAACGGGGGCGGGCGCCGCGCGCTGCGGGGAACCGTCCTTGTGCTTTGGAGATCTGGTGAAGAACGCTTTGATCTTTTTAATTGGAGACTGTTTGTGTGAAGCGTCAGCTTCTGCCTCGTCAGAAGATGACGACGACGAATCACCGGTCTGCGAACTTTGCGAACTACGAGACTTTTTCTTTTTTAACTTCTTCCGCCGCGGTCGCGAGTCCTCGACATCGAGTTCAGACGCGGAGCTGCTGGGCGAGGTGGATCGAAGGGGTCGGGGAGTGATGTGAAGGGGTTGGCGGGAGCCAGCCGCGGCGGCAGCCTCCATCCCACTATCGATATGTGGAATGCATGTGTCTATCTCGCTAAACTTGGTGACCATCGGGCCGAAGTCGGACTCGATTTCGGCGGAAGGGGCCGGAAGATCCAGCCCAGCGTGCGCGCTGACATGCACAACATCTAAGGAGAGAAAGAATCACAGACACCTATTAGAGCAGCGTGCGCATCGCGCAGTTACACTGGCAAACGACGCTAATCGCCTGGTGCCGGAACACAGATGAGTGCTCTGAAACATAATACGCAGCATAGCGTACTCGTATAACCTGCAAACACCACGTTAGGGCAGTGGGCTAGTAAAGACTGGCACGTTCACACGCAGACACGCAACACGGGGCACAGCTACGGCAAACCCAGATACAGCGCAGCGGGCGGCTTTTCAGTTAAATTGTGCCCAGTGGAAGACAGGAGCGGCCAGGCGGCCGGGGCGGTGTTAGTCACGACGACACGCGCTCAGGTCACGGATTACCTGTGGCGTCATCGTCATCGGCCAGTTCGACGATGATGGGCCGGCCGCCGCCCGGGTCGCTGTCACTGCTCTCCTCGTCCGGCTCGGTGACGACGCCCTCCTCGCCGCCGTCGGTGACGTCACGAACGTCGTCGGCGTCGGTGACGGTGACGCGCGGTACGTGGTGGAACGTCTCGTGACGCTGCACGGGCGCTGCCCGACGACCACCAGTCGGCGTGCTAACCAGCGGCTCCGGAGAGGCCCGCTCGGGTGGCGAGCTCTCCGGGACACCAGCACCATATTCGACCGGCGGCGACTGACTCGGGGGAGCGACCGACTCCTCGGCACCGCCCTCCTCGGCCGGCTGGGCACCCACGCCGCTCGTACCCTCGCCATCAGCAGTCCCGCTAGTCACGACACCAGCGGCAGAGCGCGCTGCGTCCTCGGCAGCCAGCTGCCGCTCGAGTCTCTCAAACTCCTCATCAGCATCGACGTCGTCCCCCTCAGAGAAGAGCTGCCGCTCTAGGAGTTCGAAATCACTGCCGGAGCCGGCGTCGGGCTCTACAGCGGTACCTAGTTCTGTAGGCGAATCGGTCACCGGGTCGACTGGAACAGGGTGCTCAGCAATGGCCTCGCCGGAGCCACCCTCAATCGGCTCCTCGCCCGCCATTTGTCGCTCGAGGAACTCGAACTCATCATCTGAGTCCAAGCCTAGCTCGGTGGCCGGTTCGGGAGCAGCCGCCGTCTGAGGACCAGCCGGTCCGCCGGCGTCCCCGGACTGTGGTGCGTCTGGTGGCGCGGCGGCAGGCTCAACCGCTATGACGGACGGGTAGGTGGCGTCTGACTCGTCCGAGTGCTCAGAGGTGGCCTCCTCGTCCTCGTCCAACGCGCGCCGGTACACGTCCTCAAAGCTGGAGGCGCGCGGCAGCGTACGCGTGTCGAACCGGTCGCCGATGCGGCCCTCCAGCTGCTCCGCCGAGACGGCGCTGGCGCCCGGTACGGCGGCCAGCTCCATCTCGTCGTACAGGCGCTCGAAGCTCGACGAGCGCGCCGCAGCGGCGGCGCCTGCGTCAGCGGCCGGAGACACGGTACTGTCGGACTCCCTACCCGTCGCACCGGCCTGGGCGGGCTCTGGCGCGGTGATACCACCCGGCTGATCAAGTTCGCGGGTCGGCTCCGCCGCGTGGCCATCGTGCCTCACATACAGACCGGCGCCCGGCAGAGGAACGCCGCGGCCCCCCTCGACGACAACCACCTCAGAGTCGTCGCCCTCGTCATCGCCTTCAATGACATAGAGGCCGGAGCCCGGGGCCAGCGTGTCCAGATCATCCACGTCGATATCGAGGTCACCGCGCAGCGCGTGCTTGAACATCCTGCGCGACTGATCGCGGAAATAGCTCTCCGCTTCCGGAGTGCCCGCGATCACGTCCGGCTGCAGCACACGCTCCATGACGTCACTGGCCGATGACGTCACAGACGGTGAGCGTGACGTCACCGACGGGGAGCGGCTGGACGACGGCCGGGGGTAGTCGTCCAGCAGCTCTGGTGGGGACGACGCCCACGAGGAGACCGACTGGCGGCCGGCCGCGTCCTCGGCGGGCCGCTCCGCCGGCGGCGAGGGCGTACGGAGCGCCTGGCTGGGCTCCGGGGCGGCCTGCCGAGCGGCAGCGGCGCCCCGCAGGCCCGGCGAGCCACCGCCGGCCGCGCCGGCCGCGCCTGCTGGGTGAGAGGCGAGCGTGGCGTCAGGGCGCCGCGCCCTGTCGGCGGTTAGTGCACTCCACACCGTGCAGGGTCCGGCGCATGCAGTGCCGGAGCCACAGACCAAGACGAAACTAGATGGCTACAGAGGAGAACATAACCGTGATGACCGCCCTACAAATATAGTCACCGCGACCACCAGAGAGCGACGGTGTGCCAACTAGTGTGTCATAATGCTGCCGTACAGAACTGACGAGATTTCCCAACATAAAGACAGTGTTCGACCTGTGAGGCGCCGAAGGTTCCAACTGGTTCACAGACACGTTTGAGCGGAAACAGAGACGGCAGACACCAAAGTGTCCAGTCACACGGAGTAGGGCCACAGATCACCAGGAGCACAGAAGCGACAGAGAAGACACTGACCCTAGACCTGAACGTCCACAGACTTCTGCAATCGGTGTCCAAATACCATCTTTGGGGAAGGAAATTAAACTTCGCTGATGCACAAAAATACAGCAGATATTCCATGCCAGAGATGCATAAAATATCGCCTGTTGTGTTAATGGTTAGCAACATACGACGAAAGACAAACTCTAGCACCAGACAAACGTTGCATACGAACCAGGGGCGCTGGTTGCAGGCGAAGGAAAGAGCATCCACTGGGTTAGCTAAGGGAACCCCACTCTGGCACACCGGCCACGTCGCCGTCCTCTGTCTTCAGAGTATCGCGTCTTACCTCGACCTTCTCCCTGGAGAGTGGCCATCAGTCCCAGGTCATCGGGACGCTGCGCCTCCGCAGACCTGGCCGCCACTTCAGCGCGAGTCACACACCTCTGGCTCTCGAAAGAGCCGGCGGACGGGCTCCGGGCCGCCGCCGAGCCAGCGCGCACGGCCCGCTCGAACCGGCCCGGCTCCCCGCTCACAAACTGTCGGATGCTGCGGATCTCGACGGCCTCGCAGCCCGGGGAGCGGGTCCTGACCACAAGCCGCACCTGGGCACACACCGGCCCCTGGTCCTCCTCCTCTGTGGAGTCAGTACGCTGGATGTGCGGCCCCAGGGACTCCTCCGAGCCGCTCAGGGTCGGCGGCCCGACGGACAGACCGCCGCGGCCCCACGAAGCGTCCCCCAGCGGACTACCCGGCGGGCTGGGACCGCTGGCGAGGCTCAACGGACCCCCGAACGCTGCCGCCGAACGCCTCACAGAGCCGTCCACCTCTCGCACAGAGGGAACCATGTTCTCTCTCTGAGACGAGATCCTGCCTGCCTGGAAGAGATCTCTGTCTTCTCCAAGGGCAGTACCTCCGCTTTCCTCCCCCACGAGTGGATCTCTGCCCACCTCCCGTTCGGGAGAGGCCCAGTCCTGCTCAGGTTCCTCGGTCAGGGAGAGCCTCCGCAGGCCCTCCGCCACGTCGGCCAGCTGTCGCGCCACGCTGATGAGCCGGCACTGGTCCTGGTCCAGCTCGGTGCCAGCCGGCAGCTCCGTCAGGCTGATGTCCGGCGCCGTCTCACCCTCAGTGTCCGAGGAGTCCCAGCCGGCCGGACCGGCCGCCGCGTCCGCGAACTCGCTCAGAGGGCTCACCGAGGCCGTGACGTTACCCGTCAGGTCAGCCGTGACGTCAACAGGGAGGGGCTTCTGGACAGGAGGGGCGGATGTCGGCACGGCTGTGGCGGTATCATCCGAGTGACGAGGGAGACTCCCGAGGTCACCGAGGTCACCAGAGAGCCCCAGGTCACCGAGGTCACCGGCGAGGTCAACGGGCAGAAGGTCGCGGTCGGCGACAGCCAACAGCGCCCAGCGAGGGCCGCGCGGTCCCCCGGCGAGTGACGTCACCGGCCACTCCTCCGTGATGGTCAGCGGCGGCCAATTGGCGGCGTCCGGCGGCAGCTGTGACGTCATCTCAGAGGTGGTCAGCGGCAGCCAATCAGCGGCGTCCGGAGGCAATGGTGACGTCATCTCGAGCTCAGAAGTGGTTAGCGGTTGCCAAACAACTGCGTGGGACAAGTGCGAAGAGTCGACAGAGGTGGCATTGTCGTTAGCAACTGTTGAAAAGTGGACTGTGTTACGACAGGCGATTGGGAGCACATTGGCGTGCAAGAAAACGCGACTATGGATCGAGCAGTGTTATCGGGCAGACAGAGCTGTTATTTGGAAACATTCAGTTACTTTGGATGAAACAAACACTGCCTTTATGTAGGGAAATCTGATAGAATCGAGTCACAATGGAAACTGGAGAGACTACACAACTGGAAATAGAGCTGCATCGAGCCGCCAGAAAACTACGGAGTGGACCTAGTGTGAGACGGGCACTACGTTGGCACTGTGGAGAGAGTCTGACAGTCGTGCCGGCTCGGTGTGAGAAAGTTTCGGTGGCGGAGCGACCAGGCGGGTCGGAGAACCCAGCTAGCTGGTTCAGCGGAGACGACCTCACAAATGGCGAGTGTTAGCGCTACGGGACGTCACTCGGGTTAGTGGTCACGCACCGCAATCAATGTCCACTTTGTTCGGAATTTACTTCAAGTACTTAATCCAGAATATAATAAAAAAACATCAATATGATATAAAGTTTATATGAAGGTAATTGAATATTTAATGCTTGTCGACCATGACGAAAAAAATGACGGTAGAACGATGCAAAATCGACCATTTTTCCCAAAACCGGCATGGCCTCTCAATGATGCTATGAAAAAGCAAAAATCCCGACTTACAGAACAAATGAACCAAATTCGTCTCCAGTCACATGAGAAAATAACGAATATTGTCGAGAAAATAGCGAATTTTGTCCGAGAACAAAGTGGAACATTGTTGCGCCCGAACCTGTACCTTGCGGCGGAGCGGAGGCGACCGGCGCGCCATCTGCCGAAACATCTGTGTGAAGGCAGCTGGTCAGACCAACTAGCAGTTACAGCAGCGACCGCCGGCGGCGCATCTGTCGGCCGAGCTCGGCGGATATAGGTAAACTACGCTGCGCTGTGCTAACTGGGTTTGCCGTAGAGGTGGGCGGGAGGGGGCGCACTCACTCTCACACTCTCACACTCTCACACTCTCACACCCTGCTGCCAGCTGCAGGCCTGTGGGCTCAGAGATCACGAACAGACGAACAGACAGACACGAGCCAATCATACGCACTCAGTGGGGCACTCCACACCGCTCATACCAGGAGCACAGCACTCACTCACTCACGGTGAAAAGGAACCAGCTCACTCACTCACATAGACAGAGGAGAGGTCACTCATTCATCGCATGGAATTGCAGGCATTTGGAGCTGGCAGCGCTCGACCAATCTCTCTGTGCTAACACACGCTCGGTATGTCACGAGGTCGACACCCGCTCACACATCACGGTAAGGCAGGATCACTCGCTCCATGTGACAGGTGACACACAGTGTGAGAGGCCGGCCCTCTGAGGGCCCGCGCCGACTAAAGGCTCCGGAGAGGGCCTTTGAGATAGCATAGTCCGATTGGACCGACTACTGGGTCGCTCGAATGGTGGCAGGGGCTAACTAGTCAACAAATCGAGTCTGAGCTAAGTTTAAAAGTAACTTTTACAGAATTTGTATCCGTTGTCACGGCGTGGGCGGTGACTTGATAAACATTCTCTTCTGAGAACCCGCTTTATTGCTATCTTGTAGGTTAGTCAGCCGCACCAGCATTCGAGCGCCCCAGTTGGTACACGGCCACTAAATCATAAACAGTGTCTAAGACGAGTTCGATTCGTCTCGGTACATACCTTTCTCCTCGACGCTTTGCGCAGCCTCGGACTTCTGAAGATCTCCTGAAACACAAGGAAGAGGGAAATTAGACTGGCGCTGCACGACGTACGCAATGACTGGCTGACTTACCTGAGCTTTGGACGACTGATCATCAGCAGATTTCTGAAGATGTGATTACGTACCTGTTGGGAGGAGAGCAGAAGACAGGTAGGTACCACCTCACCCCTGTATTTGCACTCATATGAGACTTGCAGAAACTAACTAAGGGAGCAGACGTGGCTATTTTGAGGATATTTCAGCGAGGGTAGGTAAGAGATACCTATATGGCGACTGAAGAGGCCCTGCGACCGCATTTCAGAAGTTGTGTGAAGAATTGCTTAAGGATATTTATTTGTGTTAGTCCCGACTTCTGTTAGCGGGATGGTATGACAAAATCGTGCAGCTATACTGAGTTATTGCGGTCCTATCGAGCAAGTTCTACGCTTCATCCCACTGACTTTTTTACTTGACCTGTTCCCCCCAAAATATGTGACAGGTTGCGGGGACTAATAACACCGTTCTAATAACACTGGAGCCTGCCACAGGTGTGTTGCTGACCTGCCCTCCTGTTAGCCCTCCCCGTCAGAACCCACCCGACCGCCCTGACTCAGAGATGCCCCGCTGTTCCCACCCTGACCTGACCACAGGCCCTGACCCGGAGATAGCCCGCTGTGTCACCCTGACCTGACCCAGAGATTGTCCGCTGTTCCCACCCTGACCTGGCCGCGGCGCAGAGCTCAGAGGCGGTGCGTACCATCTGAGCGGCGGTCCCAGAAGCGGCGGCAGTCGGCGTACGTCAGCGAGCGCCGGGTCGGTCCGGCGCGGCTCAGAGGACACTCCGGGACAACCGCCGCGCGGCGGGACAGCCGCTCCAGTCTCTGCTGCACGGTACCCGCCGGCACCAGCGTCCGCGGCGGCAGCGGCGGCGGCAGCGGGGACGGCGGCGGAGACCGATCGAGGGCACCTCCCAGGCAGACAGTCTTGTGGAAGCTGACGAACAGCGCAGAGACACAGGAGGGGCTCTGCACCTCCAGTCGCAGCTCCGTCCGACACCCAGGCATGGTCGCAGGATTCTGTGCTTCTCGGTAGTGTTTCGGTGTCCGATAGCGCGCCAACTCGGTACGCGCAGTGGAAGTCGTCTTCGGACGGCGTTGTTGAAATGGTCCGGTGGTCGGTGACGTTGGTCGGTGATCGGTGTCAGTGATTGGGGATTGGGGTCGGTGCTACCGTGGTGCCACTGGTGCTCAGTTTACAAGGGCGGGAGGTTCGGAACAGTGACCCTCGGTGCTCTGGGACGGTTGCTCGGTGTTATGAGAGACGCTACTCGGATGCACTGGCCCCTCCTTGGCACGGTGCTCTAACTGGTAAGCTGGTAGAGAGTTTGGGAACGTGGTAATGTGGTGCGGACGTTGTGTCAATGTGAGTGATATTATTGTGTCATAACTTGCTCACCTATAAGCGGAGTATAAATATCGGAAGAAAGGAAATATATACACCTGGATGGCTGTAAGGATTGATAAATACAAAACGTAAGTGAAATGCTTCTCTATTCCTTGTTGCTATTTAAACAAAAAGAACTACGAACAACCTAAGCCTACAGCAAAACAATCGTCTACTTGGTTCCGTTCTGCATTCTGCCGCCACGAGCTGCCGGTTTCCTCCCGCCAGCCGCCGGCCGCGCCTCGCCTCCCTGGCGCCGTCTACCGGCGGCCTGAGGAACCTCTGTCTCAGTCCTCCGTCCACCAGGCAGCGCGCGGGCCTCCGGCGTCGCTCCCTGCTGACGCCGGCGCCTCGTCTGCTCCTGTTTGCCCGACTCCTGAGAGCCGCTCACTTCCTTCTGCTGTTTATTGCGCTTAGTTTCCTGACCAGACGCGTTGGCAGACGGCTCAGTCAGGTCGAGCAGGTACTCCACCATAACGGAAGACCTCCTTCTGCGGTACACCTCGCCCAGGGCTACCTCCTCTGTGTCGGTCAGAAGGGAGGCCAGGTCGAGGCCGTCCAGCTTCTGGCGGCGCTTCTTTCGTCCCGGCAGCGCCACGAACGTCTCCCCTTCGCGCAGCGGAGCTGGCTCCGGAACGTCGATGGAGAAAGATTTGAAGTCGGGCATGCCACGACGACGCAGCTTCTCGCCATCCTCCATGACGACCAGAGTAGACTCCAGGAGGGTTAGGGCCGCGTGAACACCGGGCGTCGACGGGCGACGAGGCATATCGGCTATCCCGAGGTAACCATCCGTTTCAATGTCTTCTCCTTCGGTGTCCTCGCCAGTGCTGAGCTCGTCTTTCGGCTGCATCCCTTCGGGCAGAGGCTCTTCGCTGACACCTTTGTCCGAAATGCGAACCATGTTCCTCCTCGGAGACGGCAGGAGGGAGGCGTCCACGCTCAGCCTGCGCAGCGCCTCCTGGAGGCTCCAGCCCTCCTCGTCGGAGAGGTCCGAGTCGCCGGTGGACTGGCTCCTGTCGCCCGCCTGGTTCGGGCTCGGGACTGTGGAGAGTCGGCGCAGCGCCGTGTCCAGATCCCACTCCTCTGAGCCGGTCGAGTCCGTGTCCAGGTCGGTGCCGTCCGTGTTGGGGAGTCGCTGCACCTCCTGCACACTCAGACTCTCGCGGCGCGCTGTCTCGACGATCTCACGCAGCTCCTGGTCCGGGTCGTGGTACGTCTCCAGGCTGGACACGCGCCCCGTCAGATCCTCCAGCCGGGCGAAGAACGCCGCCGCCGCAGCCGCCGCGGCCGTCGCTGAGAACGAGGGTCTCTGGCGCGCGGCCGAGCGGCCCACAGCCGGGTCCTCACCGCCCGACAGGTACTCCTCGTCGGTAGGCAGCCCGCAGAGCTCCTCCAGGCCGCAGTAGCCCTCCGGCCAGCGGTGCAGCCGGCGCTGCACGGCGCTCACCTCCGGCGACGGGCTCGGCGTCTGACGGGACCGTCGGCTCGAGGACGATTCGGGCCGACGGCGCGGCGCCGGCGCCGGCGGCGACTGGGCGTCATCAGAGTCGGCGTCACCGCCCGGGACGATGAACGTCATCTGCTGGGGCACCGTCTGTCCGCGGTCCTTCTGCCGGCTGCGGCGGCGGGGACCGCGGCGCCGACGGCTTGGCTTCGCTGCTGCGGCCACCGCGCCGCCGGTCTTGGCCACCGGTGACGTGACCGCAGTTGGCGGCGAGGTTGACGCCGTTTCGGGAGTGACTTCCTCCTCATCAGTGGTAACCGCCACCTCCGGCACGGGCACGGACAGTCGGTCCCTCTGCTTTCCGGCCACGAACGTCACGGTGTCAGCGTCATCCACCGGTGTGGTGGCTTGCTCTCCGGGCGTCGGCGGCGGCGCCTTCCTCTCCTCCTCCTCTGAATCCTCGCAGAACTCCTCATCAGTGACTCCAGGCGGAGCGGCAGCCATCGACAGCTTTCGCAGCTCTCCCTCTGCGGGCAGCACGGTGACGCTCTCGCCCCCGCCGGCCGTCTCTCGCAGCTGCACCACCATCGGCGACGAGTCGGGCAGCGTCACGCTTCCCCGGGATCCGAGTGAAGCCGCGGCGGCCGCAGCCTCGTCAACCGACCCCAGCGACTCCTGGTCCGTCTCCCCTTCGTTTCCGGGGTCGGAGGGTGGGGCCAGGGAGAAGCCCGTCGACTCAGGACGGTCGACGTGCTCAGTCTGTCGGGACGGCTCCGCCGACTCGTCGGACGAACTCGACGACTCGTCGACGTCGACAATCTGCAGGTCAGGAACCGTCGGGGCGGCGGCGGGGGACCTGGAGCCCATGGCGGCAGCTAACGGAAACTAAATCGGCTCTAATACCTAGTGAATACTAGGGTCCGTGCGATATGGCGAGTGAAAACTACGCTTAGACTACACTACGCAAAATATGCTCATTGGATAAGGTGTTGGGTATTAAAGCGTCGTCTTGAACAGAAGTGTCAGTTTCGATCTGGAAGGAGAACGCAAAACGCTTTGTTGACAGCAGATGAGATCATACTATTGTAGAGGCACTGATATTCTTTCTTGAACCGTTAAAAACAATAAAGTTAACACGCTGAAAGTTCATTCGTTTGGACGACTATATGATAGAAAATAGTATCTGACTGTTAATTCCTGTTACACTACATATACAATAACGTCTCATTGCAAAAATGTTTCTTAAAATACCAGTGTTCCTAGTCAGTGATTTGTATGCACGGTATGCACTTCCATGTAATTGATTTCCAAATTCCCAGCCATCATTATGTCGTCGGTGTTTTCCCAGTTCGGCGCTATTTGTCGCCTTCTTTCGTAGTTCTAGTCAATCGCCAATGCGTCCAAACCAGCAGCATTCCAGTCACCTCAGTAGGTAAGTAGGTATCGGTTGAACTGTTACGGCCCAAGTCAGTGACTGTCAATGCTGGTGGCAAGGCACTTTGGAGAACTATCTTCCCAGCACCACACAGATCAGCTGAAACGGAACAATGTGTATATCGCCTTTCTACCGGCAACGCTAGGTACACGGGCAGAGAAGCAGTAGCGTTCTAGGGCCGCGGGTTTCAAACACACACCAGTTGGAGTCGGGCGAGAAAAATGCACACCACTCTGTCGCAGAGGCTCGGCAACTTCTAAATCATGTCAGCAGCCCAGGCGGGAAGCAGGGTGTCTGGGATGCCATAAGCTTTCTACCGGATTTTGATTGTTAACGACAGCAAGTCACAGTTCCGTCAAGCCATGAAATCGGAAGTTTCAGAGCCACTGCGGCAGACGTACCCTGCGCGGCGCGATCGAGCCGCCTACGAGGCCGAGCCACGGTTTTCGCGTCATTATCGCATCGCTGTGCCCGAACAGGAGAAACGTGAGCCGAAGAGCGAGAAGCCGGTGGATGGCGGGTGCCACACGATAACAGGTGCCACCGATGGACGGAGGGGTAGAAGAGGAAGTGGGAGACACGTGGGAGAGAAAGGTGGGTGCGGGTGAGACGCGGCGGCGGCTCGGAGCCGCGCAGCCGCGGACGGAGACAAATTTCAGAGACAAATTCGCGCGCACCCTGTTCAACCCGAGTGGGTACGG